CTCCTCCAAAGCTCAGGGAACACTGTGGAAGAAAGATGGGAAAGATGGTAGGAACTGAAGAATAAGGTGGTATGCCACAAAAAAAGAAGTCTATGGACACAACAAGGCTGTTGACCTCAAGAACTCAATGCAGTTGTGGCTACCTGCACAAGACAGGGTCACAGCATTTCCTCATGGTTGGGAGGGACATGAGACCCCACGGCTCCATGAGGGAACACTGGCAGTTAAAGGGGGGTGTCATCTCATCAGTGGTGTACCCATAGAAAAGTAGCCCATGCCCCAGTAATTAACCTCCCCACCCATGCTCATGCAAGCAACTCTAAATAAACTTAGTGAGTCATACACTCACACACAGATACACGCCCACACAGGCAAACACACTTTTTAAAGGCATGATAGCTGAAAGGGAACTTCTTGGGAATATGGGTTTCAACAGAAAAAGGACAGGAGATGAGAGTGGATAATATGGATGGAAATGACTGGGACATACTATAACATATATGAAACTGTCAAAGAATTAATTAAATTAAAATTCCTTAAACTAAAGCTTAAAAGTCAGGCATGGTAGTACAACCATATAGTTCCAACACTGGGGAGGTGGACACTAGGGCTCCATGGCCAGTCAGCCTAAGTTACAAACCAGTGAGGTACAACAAGTTACCAGTGAGTCTCAAAAAAAAAAGGTAGACATCATTTAAGGGCAACATCTGAAGTCATCTTCTGGCCTTCTGATTGTGCACATGTGCACACACACACACACTGTGGAATAGTTCCATCTCAATACCTTTAACATAAAACTTTAAGCTAAAAGGATATTTTTAGAATTTTAAAGTGAAAAAGTATGACTATATAGTTAAGTCAAACTAGAAAAACATACAGACAAAAGAGCAGAGCAAATAACTTACATTAATTAATAAACAAAAAGAATACTAAGTCTTCTTACATTAGGAAATTGGTAAGAGTAGAAGAGACCGATGAAGAAATCAGAATTATCTTAACACAATTTGGTTGGCTTTGAAGATCATAAATTTCTTGATTATGAAGTAAATAATAAGTTTGCAAAACTCTAATTTGAAAGATAAATAAGAAAATTAGCAATGCATATTGAGCTGGTGGTTGAAAAACCATAAGAATTGAACTAGACTTCTACTAGTAAATTCAACCAACAGAAAAACATAAAAACCACATCAAGAGGCTACAGTGATTACAAGAGTGTGAAATGTTCCACAGCATAGTTCCTAAAGAAAGAAAAAAAAATGAGATGGAAGAGGAAGCAACAGACTTTACACATCTTGGGCTGGTAGCTGCTCAGTGATACAGTGTGTGCTTACAATGCTCAAGGCCCTGGGTTCAATTCATCAAAAGCTACAGGAGACAGAAACCAACTAGCATGCCCAGAACGTATATGATTCCAATTTGGTCAATCAGTTTTTAAAAACAAACATGATAAAGAATATTCAAAAACCAAGCAATAATTGAATAAATTTATAGGTGTGATAATAGTGTTTGGAGGAAAATTAAACTACTATGAGGTGTAACTGGTACACAGCCCAGGCAACTTTGTGTTATTGCTTATTGTGGGACTGAGAATAGAACCCAGGATAACATTTTATGAAAACTGTCCCAAGTGATTTTGAAGAGCAGCCCCACAGTGTAAGCCATGGATATGGGACAAATTATATAAAAAGGATAAATAACCCACCTATTATGAATCTAATTACATGCTTCCAATTGTACTTTTTTGAAGAACATTTTCTTTATTGTTGGTATTAATGATTAAAACTGACACTTAAAAAATCTTAAAAATATATTCAGCAGATATATACAAGTGTTTACTTAGCTCTCGGATTACACTGCTTCCTAAACTACGTAATATTTTCTTGGCTTCCTATACTTACAGGAAAAAAAAAAAAAAAAAAAAAACAAATCAAGAGCAACAACAGCAAGAGCTAGTAAGAACCTAGACTCTCTGAGCATAATGATCAAGAGATTAGTGAGAAGGCATCTTCAATAAAACTGGAATAAAAGTCTCTAAAGCACAAGAGTTTACTTAGGCTATCTAACAGAAGTTCATTCCAATTTGGCCATCTTTCTCTTATCTCACATTTTAAATACTTACACAAACCAATGCGAAGAGAATATGGCCAAGAAACATTTAAACAGAAAAGAACCTATTTCAATTCTCAATCAACCTATCTCAGACACAAAGTAGAAAAATGTCAATTGACACACAATGGAAGAGTTATCACACTGAGCATCTGTGGTTAGTTATCCATGCAATACGGCTTTTAAGGCATAGAGTGATATTTTCTAGAATATTTTTCTGATTGGGGAAAAGATAGCCACTTGTCTTCTCAAATTCAGCATTAAGATTTCAGCTATTACTGTACAATCCCTACACATTTAAGTAGGTATTAGTAGCTCTTTAAGAATAAGGTCCAGAGTAGCTCTTCCAGTAGTAAAAGAATCTATGGGTGTCCAACCACTTAAAGGAACAATGATGACCTCAGCCAAAAGAGAAATGGGAGTTTTCTACATCTGTCTGTGAAAGTCATCAAGTTGAAGTCTGAAGGGAACCCAGAGGATTATTCATTACACAGGTGGGACACTGAGTAAGCAGGTTCCATCACTATGACTGCATTAGCAGTCAGACAAGCTACTCCCTGTTGAGATTAGACAGATGTTTTATGAATATCTGCTAAACTAATATTAGATTATTAGAACGAAGTAAGTAAACATTATGTTCAAATTGAATCTAGTTTGACTTGTACTTCTGGTTTATGAACACTTTTCGGAGGCTTTGTTTTCCAGTCCATTAATCTTTACAGGAGTTCTCTAAAATGGCTTCGATGTTTCTACTCCTCTCTTCTGCCTTTGCTTAGGGATAAATACATAACATATTTTTAACTAGAGTATAGTAAAATGCAGACTTTATTTGAGAAGAAACCATCATTTGGATATTGAACGTGATTGATAGATTCTCTAGAAAAAAAAAGCATGAGCTATTTCAAAATAAATGTTCTCTTTCTTAATCTTGGCCCTATTGACATCATTTTCCTACTCAATGCTTCAACTTTTCAATGTCTTTAGATTTTTGACTTTCGAACTTTTTAGTCACCTAAAAACAATTTCCAACATACAACTTTTTATGATGAGGAAAACATCAGTAATTAATGTCCTTAAGAAGCATATGGCTTCTAACATTTCTAGAAGGTTCCACAGTGCATAATAAAACCACACACACACACACACTCACGGAGGGAGGGATATAATATTCTTCTATAAAGAAGTAATTTACTGCAGTATAATTAAAAGTGCTAATAAGACATTCAATCATTTAATATTGCCTTGTTTATACACAACTTTAGTCTTCAGCAGTATTTTCATTTCATTTAGCTTACACTACTTTCTTTTGAAAAGAAAGAAATATTGTACATAGTTTTTTAACATGGCTTTCAAGTCATAATGAGAATGCAAAGTATTTCAAGCACAAACGTTAAACTTTTTATGTGATACTGTGGAATACACACTACAAGTTAAGAAATCTATTTCTAGACTCAGTTTTGCCTGTAGACAACTATACAGCTTCTTGCAAGTTAATTATTATTCTTAAGCGGTGAAGAAAGTAGTTTATATTAATAACGTTCGCCTCAAATTTAGCTTTCTAAGAATCTACCACAATTCAAGTACATATCATAACAGCTCAATTAAACTACTCTCGTTTTCCTTTATGAATTTACACCTTCACTTTTGTATCAATTTGACCTTAAGACAGACCACTTAAGTCGCACACTCAAGATATACTTGATAGGAAGAGAAACTGGGTAAGATTCTTTTCTAAGATGGGATGATGTCCAGCAGGCTGGGAAGTACTAGGCACATATGTATGCAGGAGAGCTGGTCATTCTCAAGCCAAGAGCACTGACAAAGATATATGCTTCAATGAGGGTTGCAACAGGGCTTGCAGGAGGCCCTAGAAGAGCCTGTCAGATAATCACACCCTCCACCTTTTAAATTCCCATTCTCCCAGTAGACACCAAACCAGTCTCCAGTTCCGGGTTTCCAACCAATCACATGAAGCCACAACAGAGGGCTTTACCAGCCTGTTTCGAGGATCCAGAAAGAGATTCACAGGACCCCAGCACCTGAAGGCTTCACACCCTTCCCAGTGTGGGAGAAAACATCAGGTTTCCCCTCGGTGCCTTAGGATTCTGGTGCCCCAAGCAGGTCCTCCCCATCCACAAAACTGAAACGTACTCCAGGGGGCCTCAGCTGTGACCTCCCACGTATCACTCCCCCAAGGCGAATTCTCCTATTTGCAGGTCCCGATCCCTGTCTGTGGTTCCGCAGGCCTCGTGGACCGCGGGCCTAAAAAAGCCAAAGAACGGGCGAAACTGAAGGCAGCTGCAGGGGATGCACGCCTCGCCAGCCAAGGAGCGATGGGGCAAGCAGGGACTGCACCGTTCCCCATCGCGGAGGGCGGGAGGCGGGCAGGGACACAGTCGAGGGTTTGTCATCCCTACATACACTCACCAGGAGCAGCAAGGAGCATCTGAGGTCGGGTAAAGACAGGAAGACGGCAGGATTCATGGTAACGGTGGGGTCCGCGGCGGGGTCAGGAGGTGGCAGCTGGAACTGGGCCGGGCTAGGAAAGGGCTGGGCTCCGAGGGCCGGCGGCAGCGGCACCTCGTCCTCTCGACCCGGAGCTCCAGCGGCGAACACCCGGGACAACTTCCAGAGAGGCCTCTCACGCCCTCACTTCCGGGTCCTGCCCACCTCTGAGCACTTCGGGAAATGTAGTCCCATTCTGCTCTCTTTGACCACGTCATCTGAGAGCTGGAACTCTCCTTCCCAGGAGGCCATGATCCCGGGACGGGCTAGCCATCTGCGCGCGGGGCTCTTCGGGATTGGAAGGGGCCACGAACTTCTGCGCCTCAGGGGAGGGGAACTACAATTCCCAGAGTGCTCTGCGGCCGAGTGCCTCAAGCTGGGTTTTCAGAGCTCCCGGGCTCTGTTGCCTTGGGGTCTGTCCCTGCGGGCGCAGTGGCCTGACTTGGCGGGAGGGGCGGCCCTGTGGGGGTCGTGCCTCCTGGTGCCAACCCGGGACGTCAGTCCTGGAGGCAAGGGTGAGTAGGAAGCGGTGTGGCATGGGCGGCTCGGGCAGGCTAGCCAGCACCGCCCCGGCCGCTGCTTTAGATTCTTGGCCCGCCTGGTCTGAGGTGTGGCCTGAGCCTCCATCCCTGGCCTCGAAGCCTGCTGCCTCTTCTTTCTATGCTACTTCCTCCGTTATATAAGGAGAACCACCGCTGGGGTTTCAGTCAATGACTTATCTAAGGTTGCTTCTGAGGGGCCGTGAAAGGAAGAGAGGATGGGTGGAAAAGCATGTTGTAAACTGTAAAGTGCAGTGCCAAAGTGACAGTGACCACTTCTTACAGTATATTTACAAATTAACCGAGGAGCAAGGGATTATTAACATGGTGTCTGGTAGCTTTCTAGAGTCTTCTGTGATCATCCAGGCAGGTCTATGTATGTGGGAAGTTAGCCATATCATCACTACCTAGCAAACAGGAGTCACTGCATTTGTGGGTCTCCCTACGCCCAGTCTTTGCTTCAGCTTTCCTGCTGCCTTGAGGTGGCCTTACCCTTTCTCTTTCTGGAACCCAATCTCAAGTCTTACCATGTCCACTGACATCTGTCACAGTCTCCAAGCCTTTCATCCTAACCAGAACTGCCTTTTCTTTGTGTGTGAGCTCAGCACCACCACTTTTGCACAGTAATAATTAGAATATTTATTGCACAGGCTTGTTTTATAATGATTTAATGATGATGAGACATTTATAGTTTATAGCACTAACAAAGTTGCTTTGATTTCTATCTATTAAAATTATTTATTGGGGGACAGCAAGGAAAATAACATTTCTGTAAAAAAAAAAAAAAAAAAAAAAAAAAACCTAGAGGAATGGCTTTCCCAGGGTTTCAAAAATTAAAGTATAGTAGAGCCATGACTCTTAAATTCACTATTTCTTAATGTAGTGGCCTTATCACCATACCACTCATCTCATTCTCTGCCAGAACCCAAATTTAGATAAATGAGAAATTCATAAACAGTAGAATTGCTAATGGTGGTACATGCCTATATTCCTAGCACTTTCGAGGCCTAGGCAGAAGGATTGGGAGTTTAAAGCTAGCATGGGCTACATAATAAGTTCTTAGGCAATCTGGTCTCTAAATTTTGAGACCCTGTCTTGAAAAAATAAGGAAAGGGAGGCAAAGAAAAAAGAAAGCCTCACTACTCCCTGAAGTTAAAATTTGATCTGATTTATCCTTTGGACTTGGTACTCACCCTATGACATTTCATTCAAAACATTCACTTAGCACCAGTTGCATATCTATTACTGAGGTAACTGCTATATATATATATATTTTGACAGCTTTCAAAGTATTCAAATAACTTTTTTTGTGGTCTGGCACACCTAAAACTCTGTCCACTTTAGATCCGAAATGATGCTTTAGAATTCAGAGTGATGACTAGAGTAGTTGGCACCTCACTTGTTGAATAAAGGAACATAGCCAGCCCTTTTAATTGTTCATATTTACTGAAACCTAAAGAGCTGAGGTAGTCTGAAAACACACAGCTGACCAGGAACTTAAATGCTGTTCCCTACTATGGTTTATCTCAGTCCTTGTTTTGAGCTTCTCTCTAGTGACTTTGATATGATCCTGCATATGATACCCTTTGTTCCAACATGACAGAGATGCTCAGACAAAACAGAAGAGCCTCACAACTTTGTCTTCCTTATTTTCTGCTAGCATGTAAGCCCACATCATCAGCAAATTAAAGAAAATCAAAAGCTAACCTTTACCATAAATTAATATTTTCTAAATAAGAACAATTCCATAATCCTTGTCAGAAACATAGGCAGGCATTTTATGTCTTTCTGCAATACCAGATTTTAGTGAATGACAATAAATTCACAAGATAAAGCCACAGCCATTTCAATGATAGCCCTTTGCCAGATAATCCCACCTACTTTGGTAATCTGACCAAGGCAACTGCAGATTATTTATTCTCTCTCAATTACTCATATTAAACTGTACACAGTAAATATGCATATATGTGGTTTACAGAATGAATACAACTTAAGCTATGGTATAATGCTAGGCTAGAGGTTTCAGAAGTAGACTGACTTAAAAAACAAATTCAAGTAGTCTGCCTTGATAAGTAACACCACCAAACCAGTCACAGAGAGCAAGCTGTTGCTGTTCGCATCAGGCCACAAGATAGGGTGGAGGGCAAAGATATTTGGTCAGATGCAGAGATGAGAGCAAAACCAATTAGAACAAGAACAGTGGACTCAAATCCAGACAAGCAAAGAGGTGGGAGGACAGATTGCAGTGAAGTAGGCTATGTCAACAGCCAGGAACCCAGCTGAGCTGAAGCCTCAAGGAGCATTGAGAACTCTGCCTATCAGTCTTTGATGTGCACACCAGGTCTCGGAAGATAGGTTGGTGAGGGCCATTGCCTTTGCTTTACTAGGTCTTCCACATTATATGGTCCAGATGAGGAAGTGTTCAGTAAGTCCTTGGGGCTGGTTTCCTTAGTATCAATATGCTTATATGCTTCCATGGTCTCAGTACACCTTGAAAAGTTCATAGGTTGGCACCCTCTCTGATCCCTCATGATGCTACACAGTAATTTACCATTCTATGCTGCAAGGATGGTGCTAGATAGGAGCTAGCATTCACTTCACCCAGGAGCACACTCATCTTCTACCCTCAAAACAGAATTCAAAAGATTTTAATAAACTGGGGTCTCCCAGGCCAAGGCATGGGTTGACAAACCACTATTTTACCCAATGGGGAATAACAAAGCAGGACACAGTTGGATCTCAACAAGAATTGTGTGGAATCATATTACCTATATTAATCTTAGAAGTGATGTAGGATATCTTTCTGTATGCTGCAAATATGCGTTGCTTTTATTGGTTGATAAATAAAACTGATTTAGCCAGTGGCCAAGCAGAATAGAGCCAGGTGGCAAATCCAAACAGAGCTAGAGAAAGAAGGCAGAGTTGGAGAGACACCATGTAGTCATGGGTGTTGGGAGTGATAAGATAAGGGGTAACGAGCCATGAGCTTCATAGTAAAATATAAAATAATAGAAATGGGTTAATTTAATTGTGAGAGCTAGGTAGTAATATGCCTGAGCCATTGGCCAAACAATTATAATTAATATTAAGCCTCTGAGTGGTTATCCGGGAACTGGCAGGTGGGAGAAAAACTTCCAACTACATAGAATCTAGTATGACTTTTAAATTCTGTGCCTAATGTAATTGTCTTCTCATTTCTTGAGAAAATTCTCTCATTCCACAGTTAAGCAAGTAGTACAAAAAGCCATCTAATTTGCCATGTTATCCAAGTTGTAGAAATAGTTAAATCCTATTTAAATATTTATAATAAATCATGTTTACAAGCTACCTACTTGGCACTGATACGTCAAGTTTTAGAAATGTTTTGTGCTTGTACTCATCTCAATCACTGTTTCAGGTCACTCATGTTGTGGAGAAAACGATGAACATTTCAGAGAATGTGCTGTCTTCTGGATCCTCACTAGCATCGCAGGTTCATGCTGCGGCAGTGAATGGAGATAAGGGTGCCCTTCAGAGACTCATTGTTGGTAAGCCAATCCCTGTAAACTTGGATGCTGTAATAGACTGGGGAGATGGTTCATTCAGTAAAGTGTCTGCCACACAAGCATGAGGACTTGAGTTGAGATCCTTAGCACCCATGCAAAAGCCGGTGTGAGACAGCCATCAAGATCTTTAGAGCTCATTGACTGCTCAACCTGGCTGAACTGAGGGACTCAAGGTTCAGTGCCTTTGACATAGCTCAGCAAGTAAAGGCACTGGCTGCCACACCTGTCAGCATGAGTTAAATCTCTGAGACCCACCTGGTGGAAAGAGAGAACTGACTCATGCAGGTTTTCATCTGACTGCCACATGGGTCTTATCATGACATGCACACCCATACACATACACATGTATATGCATACACATACACTCAAACAAAATGAATACATGAATGTACTTTTTTCCAAGGAAGAAGGTGGATAATAGCTGACGATAATACACAGTCGGTGCTGACTTCTGACATTCGCACACACATGGTTACATACACTAATACCAAAGAAAAGCAAGCAAATAAAAACAACTCTGTCCCAGGAGAGTTTGTTCATCATTTAAATTTACAGTGTGATTAAACAATTTAATGGGCCTTTAATCCCAGCACATGGGAGGCAGAGACAGGCAGATCTGGTGAGTTTGGGGCCAGCCTGGTCCCCTAGAGGAAGTTCTAGGACAGGTTCCAACGCTACACAGAGAATCCCTGTCTGGAAAAACAAAACAAAAAAACAAAATGAAGCAAAAAAAAAAAAAAAAAAAAAAAAAAAAAAAAAAACAACAACAACAACAAAAAAACCCCACCAACTTAACAAAATTATATTACTAGTTACATTTTACTCTGGTTCTTGAACAAGAAAGAACTTAAATCCTGAAGGCTCAGAATATGGTTTAGAAAGAGGTAAATTACTTGATAAATTTACTGGGCAATATACTCAAAGTATTAAGTTTATAAATAACTTTTGATGATTTAAAATTATTCTCTGTCATTTATTATGTATTTATGGTTTAGAAGTCCAGCATGGAAGTCCTAGAAAGAACAAGATGAATAATGAACAGAATTAAGGCCAAAATGGCTAAAACAAAAACTTTCCAGAATTGTCAAAACCTCCAGCCCACATAGTCACAATTTTCAAAGAAGAACAAATTAAAATGAAAATAAATATCATTTGTAATATTTACACATCCCAGTGTTTGATGACTTCATGACTGATAATAAGCAATAAATTCAAAACTACTTGAACTTTCATACTTGATCCTTTAGAACTTTTTTCATCTTACATTCCCACTTTTTTTATGAGCTCTTACCTATAAACTCTAACCTTTTGTAAGCGTCAAGGGTATGTCTATTCTTTGATAATTTCCTTTATACTTTCTACTCCATGGCTTTTTTCCTGCTATCATTTTGCTTTTTTCTCTACTAAACAAACTCTTCTTTAAGAGTAAAATAAATTGCCTCAAATTTTGTATATACTACAAATCTCTCTCTCCCTCTATGAGACACATTGTTCTCCCTTCACCTCAGCTGCCTGCATTCCCAGTTCCTTCCTGGAACTTGACATCTGGGACCTCCATATCACTCGTTTCAATGCTCAATCATTGAACTGAAACACTTCCAGATCACTTAACAATTAGAAGCAGTAGTTTCTCCTCCTCCTTGAGCTTTCCAACATAATTTCTTCCCCAGTTTTTAGCCACCAGTTTCTCTCTTTATCTCTCTCCCTGTCCAGTCTCGATCCCATGGTCTACTAGTACAACTTTCTTTTGGAAAAACTCACTCTTTTGCTCACGTCTGTTTCACCTGGCTATAAGGCTTTCACTCTGGATGGACCTAATTTATGTACCCTGGCAATCCCAGAACAATTAGACATAGCTTGAAGTTTTATATGTCAATTCTTGATCTCTGCTCCAAATAATCACTCTACACCTAACCATCTATCATACCACAATTTTCCATTGTGAATACTTGGTACATTCCTTGTATCCTGAAAGCTTGGCTTCCAATTTCTCCTTCTTTTCTCAGATAATAATGTATGATCCCTAGAAAAATGGAGACATTAAATAAGAACTCCCTCATCTTTTAGAATAATATCTACAAATCTTCATGTGTTTGTGCCTATGCTCTTCCTTTTTTTCTGACAAAATGGAAAATACTCAGCTTTCTATCAAAGGCCAGTTCTTCTTGACAAGGCCTGTGTTCTATCCTTCCATCTTCTCCAGGAATTTATTCCACTTTGCTTAAACCTCTGATAACATCTTCAAACTTTTGTTCGCTCTCATATTAGAAAATTCTCCAATAGCATTTAAACATGCTCTGTTATTATTTGTATTTAGAAACTCCCTCCTTGTCCTTTTATTTGCCCGTACATACATTTGTGTCTCTCTGCTTTCCCTCACATGTACATTGATACAGAGCTAAACTGCCATAACTGTGACTTGAAGAAGTCAGACTTTTGACTCATTATAATAGTAAAAAGGTATATGAGCATCCTGGGGTGAGTAGGAATCTCTCCACAGAATCAACTGGAAATGCTTGTCTCCACAGACTTAGCATTTATGTGGTTTGCTTGGTGGATAGAAGGCAGATACTGTCTTTTGCAGTCAAAGCCCACTTGTCAGAGAGATGCAAGGAAATAATTTGTCAGTAAGGAGGTAGTCTGAAATTAAGAACAGATCCACACGCTAGGACAAAGGGGGCTAAAGAACCAGTCTTTCCCTGGATAGTTTCATGTCTTATTAAAACCCACAGTACACAGTTGCAAAGAAGCAAAATAAAAGAATGGATGGTAGTAGTTACCATTCTGTCACCAAAACTGTGCTTCATGAGCCATCTACACCATCAGCCTCATTTTTTCCACCTTAATCCATTCTTTCCTGTTGAGAAAACACAGAAGATGTATATACCCTTTATTTTATACACATATAGAAAGAAGCACATATAACTTACACAACTTACACAATGCACAAAGCAAATACCCATTAACCTCCATCTAAATTAAAGAATACTACATTGTCAGTACCCCAATAGTCACTTATTGTCTTGCCTGTGTTTGTTTTAGACAGCAACTCTTTTGGCCCAGGCAGACCTCAAACTCCCATTGTAGCTGATGATGAAATTGAACTCCTGATCTACTCTTTCCTACAGGCTGGGATTATAGGCCTCTTCCTTTAGTGCCTCCTTTTACCCTTCCTTCCTTTTCCTTCCTTCCTTTCTTTCTTTCTTTCTTTCTTTTTTTTTTTTTTTTTTTTTTTTTTTTTTTGTGAGTGAAATGCAGGATTTTGTACTTGTTATACCCCTACACGTATCTTGACTTTATAATAATCATATCATTGTACGCTAAAAAAAAAAAAAAAAAAAAAAAGAAAAAAGTCTATACACTTACAGTCTTTCCTGGCTTATAAACACTTTTGTTTCTCGCCATTATACTTGAAACATCATTTTTTTCTATTTTGTTTTTAAATTTAAATTAGACACAAGCTTTTTTTGGGGGGGTGCTTTTTTGAGACAGGGTTTGTCTGTAGCTTTGGAGCCTCTTCTGGAACTAATTCTGTAGACCAGGTTGGCAACTCACAGAGATCTGCCTGCCTCTGCCTCCTGAGTGCTGGGAGTAAAGGTGTGCACCTCCACCGCCCAGCTGTCTGACTCTTAAAAACCTCCATACCATAAGGCTGTTCTGTACCATAAGGCTGTTTCTTCAAAAAGAATTGCTCTGACAATCCAGTCTCAGTTTTGTCTCTCCTTATTGTATTCTATCTTGGCATTCCATATGCTTTCTTCAAGAGACTGTATAACTGTATTCCTGTAAGTAACTATTTTAATGTCTTTCTGTTTCTCATAATTTAGTGACTTCTTCAAGAGCAGACTGAATCACTCATTATCATTTTCAACACAGTACTTGATACATAGTAGGCATGTGAGAACTATTTGTTGAAGAAATGAGTAAATATTATAACTCTTATTTAATTGTCTTTCCTTCCCAATAGTCTTATGAATACTTTGAGGGCCAGAACTAAAAGTGAATTGAGTTGAATTAAATTGAATTGAGAGACAGATTGAGCAAAATTCCCTGAAGGGGGGAAAACTTGAATCAGAGTTCCTCAAGAAAAAAAAAAAAAAAAGAACTATATAAAATGACTTCTTCATTGTTTTAATGAAAATTACAATCTTCCAAAGAAAACAAACTGTGGGGTATGCTGTAAAGTAAAAGCACACTAGTTCATTCATATAAACTAACAAACATTTCATTGTAAAACTCTAAACTTTCCTATAATTTAATATATCTAAAAGAAAAGTCTTAAAAACTAAAAAGCATTACATGTAACAAGTATAGAGTTAATAAATTTATTAATTGATTCCTGTGTTTTCTATCACCTTGTCCAAGGAACTCCTGGGTCCTTACTGACTGAAGGACACTGCTGGTCTTTTAGGCATTGTGCCATTGTATTTTCTGTGCATACAACCACACCTTTATTCTGTGGCATTTCCCAACTCGTGTGTGTTCATGCTAAAATATGTTTTCTTGATCTTAAATTTCAGCCTATTTTAAACATCTTTTTACATACCACATGTTTGATGATCACTACATATGTGCTATTTCTCTTTCCTAAACTAGTGTCATAATACTACTGATGAATTATTTTTCTTGTATCTTTGTTCACCAACTGCTCAGTGAATTCATTCACTTTAGCATTTTCTGTTTTCCCATCTCTGTTTCCATGGAGAAATATGCCAATGATGCATTTGACTCCATGGAAACGGATGACTGTCTCTTTCTTACACAACTAATTAAATCGAACACTTTCTGAGCTGTCCATTGTCCTGGAGAAGGACTAGAGGCCTTGTCTGAATGAAACATCCTTTTAGTCACAGTCCTTGCTGTTGCACCTAACACAATGATGGTATGGATGCTTTAGCATTTCCCACTTCCTAGATTACCTGCTGACCCAGCTACACCTTTTATTACTGTCTACCTTCTGAGCAAGAATACTTTCTCAAAAT